GGGATATTAGTCGGGTAGCTGGGGCTTGAGAGTGGGTGGATATGACGAAAACAATAGTGGCATGGTGGGTTGGGGTTGGGTTTGGGTTTGGGGTTGGGGTAGGGTGGGGTGCAGGTGAGTGGTAGGTGTGAAGACGACAATAATAGTAGCATGGTCGTGGTGGGTGGTGATGGAATTCAATTCCTTCCATTACGCCAAGAAATGATGAATTCATTAATTTGTGGAATTCAATGAAATTTGAAGGATTTCATCCATTTCAATAAATTAACCAAATAAAAGAAATGGAAAAAGAATCTGTCATTCCAATTTCATTAAATTCCTTTTGAATTTCGCGAACCAAACAACCCCTTAGTTTTTATCTCATGTTGTTCCAACTGATATTTGTCTCATGATATACTAAATACGGGACTATTTTTTTGTCTTGTCTCGTTCCATCCTATCTATATACTGAACCCACTCTAAATACGACAAGACCCTTTGTATTTGAAATGAATACAACAATTTTTGTTTAAGTTGCTTCAAATTAATTCCTTAAAAAAGGTTGCCTCAAAATAAATGTATAATAATATATTTAATATACAATTTTTGAACAGATTTGGAGTATTATTTTTTTTAAATACCTTTAACTAAAATCAATTAATGGAGTATTTTAACTTCCTTGTTATTAGTCATAAAAAAAATATAAGATGTACACAAAATGTTATATTTACTTCGAGACGAATAAAATATTTTATGTTTATATTTTGTTTTTATTACTTTGTAAATCATTTAATGAATGTAAAAGCATATTCCACGGTATCATGTTAAGTTTTATAACCAGAAATATTGAAAGATAAAACATTTTCATTCTATTTATACTAAATGTTTATTTTTTTTATTAATCTGGATATCTAACCCGTTATGCGAACTGACTAATCCCAAGACCTGTTTTGCAGATAGCCTGAAGTCATCGTATTTAAACCTCCGTGGCCACGAGGGGATTTTTGTTCTTCATTGAATTTGAACTTAAGACCTCCATGCACTTTGACCTTTGAAGCCCAACTTCAAACCAACTAGACATCACCCTTGTGGTTAGATAGATTTCAATTAACATAAACTGATTAGATTAAAGCATTTTTCTGAATTTTGATAATTATGTTCTAATTAATTAAAAAAACGAAATTGCATGAAATAATAATCGCCTATGTATTATACATGATCATCATCACATAGAGCTGAGAGCCACATAAATCTGGAAAGATGAGTAATAAACCTCACCCCCATACTTTTCAATCAACACCATATCTATCCATTCACCCTTTGCCACCTGTCATCCCATAGTTCCCTGCTTATCTCTTGAAGACACCCATTCTTCCAAAAACTCCTAAACACCACTAACCTCTGCTTCTGCTTTGAAGCTCAAACCAGATCAAAAATGGAGACAGGAGTAGCGTGCTTTGCACGTGGGACAATCTTGCCAACTATTGCTTCTCAACATTCAACCTCATTTGCATCTCCATGGTCTGTTTCTCCCTCATTCACCACCAGGGTATGCTTCAATTTCATTGCTTTGTGTTCATATTTACGGGAACACTTCAAAACTAAATAAATATTCCCTTCTTTTACGTCCTGTAACAACTCGTCCCACATGGATAGAAAGTTAGATTTGTGAGTTCATTACAAATGACTTTCGTCATGGTTTTAAGCTGGTTTGAAGATACTATATCGAATTTTTGAAATGTTGATTCTTTTTCGTAGAGTTTAAAGTCAAGTTCGTTATTCGGAGAGGCCTTGCGGGTAATGCCAAGATCATCCTTCAAGGTTTCAAAGGCACAAAATTCCTCCTTCGTAACCAAATGTGAGATCGGTGAAAGTTTGGTGAGTTTATCTGTCTATTTAACTCGTTATCAAGATTCTTGTGTAACGTATTGGCTCTCATGTTGGGATTGTGAAATCTTTGTAGGAAGAATTCCTATCGAAAGCAACCCCGGACAAGGGTTTGATCCGATTGCTGACGTGCATGAGTGAAGCGATCAGGACCATTGCATTTAAAGTTCGAACTGCGTCTTGTGGTGGCACAGCGTGTGTCAACTCGTTTGGTGATGAACAGCTCGCAGTCGACATGCTTGCCGATAAGCTTTTGTTTGATGTTAGATTCAAACTTGCATATGCTTCTGTTCTTACCCTTTCTGCATTCATTCAAGCATTCAAACAGTGGGTTATTTACAGTACATATAAAAGGGTCTTTTACTATACTGTTTTAGGCATTGACTCACTCGCATTTCTGCAAATATGCGTGCTCTGAAGAAGTTCCCGAGCTTCAAGATATGGGCGGTCCAGTCGAAGGTCACAACGTTACCTATTCGTAATTCATATCCACAATGTAATAATATGTCATCCACCAAATATACCATCGATTATTAGATGGTAAATTTGATGGTATGACATAAATCGACCAAAATGGCGGGTCACTTCCAATCAAATTCACCTTTTAGCAATAGCCTTTACGAGGGCTAAAATGGGAATTCAATTCCACGAATAACTAAAAAGTGATATTGATTGCGGAAATTGGTTATTTTGGTCAATTTTCCCGTATAACGACCCATATGTACAATCTGTGTTTCCTGATTTAACTTGATCTAAGAAAAATGAACGAACAGGTGGATTCAGTGTAGCTTTTGATCCCCTTGACGGGTCCAGCATTGTTGACACGAACTTCACCGTGGGCACCATCTTTGGCGTGTGGCCGGGAGATAAGCTAACCGGGGTGACCGGAGGAGACCAAGTGGCTGCAGCCATGGGAATCTATGGGCCTCGAACCACTTATGTTCTTGCCATCAAGGGCTTCCCTGGAACCCATGAGTTTCTTCTTCTTGATGAAGGTAACATCTGAATGCTTCTCATTTCAAAAACTTCGGATAATTGTATTTTACGAGTAACCATTTTCGACTTCGTTGTTTAGGGAAATGGCAACATGTGAAAGAAACAACAGAGATTTCCGAAGGGAAGATGTTTTCCCCTGGAAATCTGAGAGCCACTTTTGACAATCCAGAATATGACAAGGTCTTTAAACCTTCTTATTGCAACGCATCAAGAAATCTTGAAATTGTTTTGTTCTAAATCTTCGATTATGGAAATGCAGCTGATCAACTACTACGTAAAAGAGAAGTACACATTGCGATACACCGGTGGAATGGTGCCCGATGTTAACCAGGTCGATCTCTTCATTTCACGAACAAAAACTAGATTTTTTCGATCACAAGATCGGTATTTAACCGCCTGAATAAAGTATTTAGTGTGACTTTAAATTTATAGGACGTATTATTTATTGATTCTAACAACTTAAAGTCTCGTTAAGTACTCTATTCAGACGTTTAAACGTCCCAAAATACTCGTTTTATTATAACGTTCGGTCTTCCTTTTCATTCTAACGCTATTTTCTTTGCAGATTATTGTGAAAGAAAAGGGGGTTTTTACTAACGTGATATCACCAACAACAAAGGCCAAGTTGAGGCTTCTTTTCGAGGTGGCTCCATTGGGACTATTGATCGAGAACGCTGGAGGTTATAGCAGCGATGGGACGAAGTCTGTGTTAGATAAGGTCATCGTGAATCTCGATGATCGAACCCAAGTTGCTTATGGATCCAAAAATGAGATTATCAGGTTCGAAGAGACATTATACGGGTCATCCAGGCTCAAGTCCGGTGTGCCTGTCGGAGCTTCCGCTTAAAACCCGATGAGCCAATCCGCATATCGGCAATCATCTTTGTTTTGTAAACATGTATTGTTAAGAATTCAATGAAAATTTTTCTTCATATATAAATCGAATTTCTAAGTTTTATAAATATTTGTAAGGATTGTTTGTTTACCTCTTAATAGTTGCAATCTCTGAATCGTTAAGAGGTGAATCTTGTTTGGTAATTTTTTTTTTTGCCTCTTAATGGTTCTAAAACCTTCTAAATGATTTTGTATCTTGGATCTTTCTTAACCATTAAGAGTAGAACTCTTCTGAATGATTTTGTATCTTGGATATATTTTATTTTGCACTATATCATGAGAGCCTCTTAATCATTTTGATATTTAATGCCGGACAAAAATAAACGCGCCAGGTAGGGGTCGAACCTACGACTTTCTGCTTAGGAAACAGACGCTCTATCCACTGAGCTACAGGCGCTGCTTGTTGTCATTATTTGTTATTAAAACTAAATAATAATTTGACAGATTTTTGTGATTATTACACGATTAAATTTTAAAGTTATAGATTTGATCAAATATTATTCTTTTAGGATAAATATCTTTGATTAAGCAACCAAACCTTTAATAAATATCTATGTGGGAGCCACCCCTCCATCACAACAGGAAATAGATGACGTACGGATCATACGTATCGTATGATTCATGTCTAAAATGGAATGATTTATTTACCGACACTTTTTTAAAACTAATATGAATCTCATGAATGATTTATGGTGACCAAAAGAAGTGTAAAATGCACCTTTAGTATGTACATGTTCGTCTTTCCACTTGACCCCTCTCTTTATCTTTTCGCCTTTCACTAATTTGCCTCAAATAATTGCTCATGGGCTCGATTACTTTGGAGTTTGGACACTTCTTTCATTTTACGTACCCACTTGCATACAACGCTTTAAAGTCCAATCTTTGTCTCGTTTGGCCTTTCGACCTTCCAAAGAAGTGGGTTTCGTCATTTAGTCATAATTAAAGACCATGTGTTCTATACGTTTACAAACATGTTAACGTCCGAATATGACACCAAGGACCACCCCTCCCCCTCCCCCTTCGTTTTCCAATTCATTTTTTTTTTCTAAAAAAACCCGGATCCTAAACATACCAAACCAACTAACAAGACACTCAAGTTTGTCAACTCGGGTCTTTTCCGGCTTCTGCTTGTCAAAAAAACGTTGGTTAAAAATAAAATACTGAATAACGGTTTGAATAATAGACAGAGAATATATGTTAGAATAATGAGTGCATGGGAAAAAGTGTACTGCTGGTACAAAAATGAAAGATATTTGCCACTATGTTCACAAAAGAAGTTTTAGAATTTTCTTTCTCCACTAAAGGCTTTTTATAGCAGCAAATAATAATACAAGAAATGTAAAGGTGAATGGATCACTGTCTTGCCAAATCTTGCTAACTTTTTAATGCAATCATAAAAGGTTTTCGATTTCCTAAAGTAAAACCATCGAGGGCAGCCACAGTAAATGCTTTAAAATCACACAATTATCTATCACTCTGTATATAAACAGCAGAGATCGAATCATATAGCCATTGACAACTGGCCACCCTGTTCAACCATTCTGGGTTTGAGTTCATCCACAATCAAGATTCACATCGAAATCAGTCTTGCTTCTGTCACAAGAGGTAAAGATCACAGAGCTCTCTGGTTTTTCTGCTTCTGTTCTTTATGTAATGATCATAACAGGTTCTGCGTTTTAGTTTTTAATCAAGTTTTTGAATTGGGTATTTGATTATTTTGAAATTATGTGTTTGAATCATATGATTTGACATTGATATTCATTGTTATTCTATCTTTTTCAAGGTCTTCTTGATTCTTGAACTGATGGGTCGTTTTCAAGATTCCTGAATATGTTCTACTAAATCTAGAAAAAGGGTATTCTAATGATCTGATTCCTATTAAATGATTCTGAACCTTTCCCTCTGTATTTGGATGGTTTTTTCTCCATAAAAAGTTTGAAGCAGCTATGGAGACATCATCTCAATCTTTGCATCTTTTAAGCTCAAATAATATGATGCAAGAGATCAAGAGCTCGAAATGGACGAACGAACAGAACAAATGGTTTGAAAGTGCTCTAGCTATATTCGATACAGAAACACCAGACAGGTGGTCAAATGTCGCTGCTTTAGTCCCTGGGAAATCCGAGTATGATGTTAGGAAACAGTATGAAGTATTGAAAGCTGATATCAACGATATTGAAGCGGGTTTGATTCCAGTTCCTGGCTATTTCGCCTTCAAATCAGAATTGGTTGAAGATCGTGGATTCTATTCTTTCGGAAATCGTCTTCTGCGGTCAAGATCCTTCGATCAAGAAAGGCGAAAAGGCATACCTTGGACTGAAGAAGAACACAGGTGAACTTCTCTCTTCTAGTTTTAGAGCTATAGAATAGTTTCTGATATTTTCTGGAGCTAGAAATAACTCTAACTTGATGCATTGTAGGCGATTCCTGATGGGTCTTCAAGTTCATGGCAAAGGAGACTGGCGAAACATTTCTCGCAACTTTGTAATGACCAAAACACCAACACAAGTAGCAAGCCATGCCCAGAAATACTATGCAAGACAACATTCAGATGGGAAAGAAAAGAGAAGACCTAGCATTCATGATATCACAACCGTCCACCTGCCGGAAAATGCCAATTTCTCTGGCGAAAGAGAGAAGTTTTCACCGTTAGTTAGCACACCAAACAACAGGAACCCTAATATCCGAGTATACAATTCTGGTCTCTATTTCCAACCTACAAGATACCAGGTTCAAGGTTAGGCAACTGAACCGTCCGAGGTTTGTGCTTGTAGTCGAAATTAATCAAAAAATTTGATAATTTGTACTCATGTTATTATGTAACTTAAATGGTTAAATCTTGATAGTTTGTTGGACCAGGTTTCAGTTCTGAGCCAGATAACAAATTCCAAACATAGATTTTTAGCCTGTGATCAGAAAATGACCAACAACCGTAGAAACCTCTTTATATTACCTTTCTTCTTCAATTGTTCACTGCATATAATGCACTGAAAAAGCTGAGTCAGCTTCATTTACATATTGTCGAAGGCCATGTCATTGGCTGACTCACTCTACACTCATACCAAATTTCCAGATCATTTCACCACCATGCATAGCCATATATGTATATAGAATATAAAAACTAATTAAGCCAAAGTGCACCCCAGACAGACCTTCCATCAACATATGATGTATTCTTGTTTTAAATCTTTAAGTCAATCCTGGGACTTTCTTTGGCAATCTTAAGGTACCAAGTCCCTGTAGAGTAATTCAGTGAATTAACAATTATAAATCAATAAACAGAGGACAAAAATTTCATTTGATTTATTGAAATAAGCTTCTTACAGAATATGACAAATCCACTTGTGTAATGAGAATCTTTTTTCTATGTTCCTCAAGTTGCATGATACTGCACTTGGTCTATACAAATATGGATGGTTTGTATTTGATCGCTCCTTTATATATATATATATATAGAGAGAGAGAGAGAGATGGTCCACATATAATAAAGGTTCAAATAATTTATATCCTTAAAAAAGAACATATGAAATCTCTTGTATGAATTCTTGTTTAATATCTTTTTCCTTTTCTATATTTTTCTTGCACGCTTTTTAAAGTGCATACACACGTAGCATATATTTTAAGTAGATGACAGGTCTGCATATATTTTATCTTTCAGACTTTATTTATAACGGGTTCATTTGTTCTAGTTTGATATATATATATATATATATATATATATCGAGTTTTTTATCTAGAGACCCACTCCAACATGGTTAAGGTCATCAATCAAGATATCAAACGTCAGATGCATATAAGATAATGGGTTGAGCTCAATGGACGACACAAGATGGTGTTGAATGGCATGGTACTTTATCAAACACTAAATATGAATCATCATCTTCCATTTAGATCTGTCTCAGTAAAACTCTTGTAACCCTAGTAAAACATGCTTACAATTTACATAAATCTACAGAACCATTATGTTTATCTTTGTTTCGTTGTTTTCGGTTCGTCTTGATGTTCTTGTTTTTGCTGTTTGTTTGCTTGATGATGCTATATGGTGGGACGTAAGAATCTGAAGTCAAATTGCTTAAACTAAAAGCAGAATCTTTACAAGATCTAGTTACAAAAGAATATGGCAAAAAAATCACCCACAACAAGAAAATTTGCAGATCCCATTTCGGAATTCCTTCTATTCATAACAGATTTGTCCGAATTTTCAAGATTCATGTTTTTAGCATATATTCTCTTCTAGTGTTTGCAAGAGAAATTGAAGTCTTGACAGAAGCATCCACATGGTTAAACGATTCCTGGAGTCGATTCTAATGCCATGAAATATGATATACCTTACAAGTGGTGTATTTGATATTTGAGGCCGAAAGCCATGAATTCACATGTGAATACAACAGCGAATGCAATACAACAGGCCAAACGCCTCACACTGATAGACCCAAGGAGAGTACTCAAACCTGAAAACCAGTACCTGAAGAAGTTTTGAGTTTTGGGTACAAAACAAATTTGCAGCAGAACCATCAGAAAACATCTTGTTTCCTTCAAAATTTTACTATTTCGTATAATGCCACAATAGCTCATCAACCACACAATACCGTTCTAAAACAGCAAAATTATTACATTCCCGTCTAACAAAAAAACCAAGACAAACGTTATGAACAGTAAACAATACAGGAAACTGCATAATACAAAAAAAGTAGAATCTATCTCAGCCAAATGCTCTATTGGCGTGTTTTCAAGAAAAAAGATGTTATATACATACGTTATTCAGGTGGCAATGGAGTCAATCGGGATAACAGATGGCGGAAAGTCGGTTCTTGGTCCAGCAAGAGAGTAATATGCAAGAATGTGTGCAGGATGTTCCATCTCTCTTTCTTCTCCAGCATTAACCTTTCTTGGAGGAATTATTTCAATATTCCAAAATGGTCGCGCCATTGCTAACAGATCACATCCAGTCGGTGATCCCCTATACCCTTGTACCCATAAGTATCTTAGCGATCTCAGCTGAAGAACAGCGATCGCAAGTGCATGTTCACTGAAACAACATCCTCTAACTTCTAGTTTTTGTAGGCTAGGGCACCCTCTAGAAAACCCTAGAAGCCCTGTATCAGATTCTCCGACGTACCCCAGAAGCATCCATCTTATATTCTGGCTGTATTGACCGATATAAGCCAAACCCACATCGGTTAGCCCTCCTGGTCGGAGATAGAGTGCAAATCTTCTAAGCTTTTGGCAGCCACTTAGTAAAGACCGGATTCCATTATCGAGTGGCAAGTCTGTGATCACTTCTTCTCGATCCAGCAACACCATTCGGAAGTCACACAAATTAGTCAAGTTCATTCCCATCGATTCTAGAGCTGCGTTTGTGATATCAGATACGTAAACAGCAATATATTCCAACTCGAGACAACCTTGTGATAAAGCGGTTAATCCCCTTTGAGAAACTATACCTTCCTCATCTTCCATTTCTTGTTCATCAGCTCCTCGCTCGATTCTAAGCCGCTTTATCTTCTTGCAATAGCGAGATAGAACTTCCATTCCACGATCTCCAATCACATTTCTTGTCTGTTCATCGATCCGAAAGAAAAACATAATTCATTTCAAACTCGTTCAACTATAAAATCGTCAAAATATGAATAAAATGATATTGTACCTCAAGAACTTCCAAATTGGGACACCTTCGGAGCAAAAGACAATGGTCTTCTGTGTCAAGAAGGGCATATAAAAGATCCAACTTTTTTAGCCGCGAAGCAAAGGGGAAAACAATGGGCATTTCATTCGTACTCATATAATTCATCCCTAAACGGCATAATCTAGGAGGGTATGCCACAGAGGCATAGCGTTCAGCTTGATCATTGAAGCAACCACCACCAAATTCTTCAAGCGAAACAGCAGACTGGAAAAAACCAACAAGATCCAAGATTTCACAATCGCCTATCTTGACCGATAATAAAGACTTGCATCCTCTGGCTATTAGCTCAAGATCTTCAAACCTAGTTTGAGTAAGATCCGTCATGTAAAAGTTCAATGTTTCAAGTAGAGTATTGTTCATAGCAAGCTCATGTAGCCAGTTTCCATCCTTTTCCATCACTTGGCTCTCTTCTAAAAACAAGGTTTTAAGGTTCCTGCATTACCATAAACTGCATTAAATTCCTATAATTGACATCTAAATGAGCTAGTAGCAAAAGGCTATTTCTCCTAAGTCATATAAATTCTTCAGCTTCCTAGGAATTTGATAGCCAAGAGTTTTAAATGCTACCCATGTTGTTAAATGTGTATAAAAATCAATATCTATTGTGAATTTGAAACAGAACAGTGGTCAACCTTAAAAGTCAAATGTACTTATGAATCTGGAATGATAACAAGCATTCCATGCTAATGTTAACACTCGATTACCCCAACACAAGAAGCAGATAATTAGTAATAATGAAAGCTTTGAACGTGGCAGCAAATGATAATAGAACAGTTTTAGATGTGAGCAAAAAGTTAAGAAACAGGGCACCAAATAATATAATCTACAGACAATCTAAACCCCACCAGAATTATGGAAAAAGATGCCATTTTTATTGCTTAATTCTTGAATTCAGACTCATCTTCGAGTGCATTTCAAGAAAATGTCATCACCTTCTATACCAAACTGATGATATACCAAACATTTCATCAAGATGGAATATATTCATATCGACAGAGATCCAGATAATCATTAAAACATGGGTATTTTAATCACAAAGAAACTTCCATTAAATTAAAAAAAAGGATCGAATTAATAAAAACATATATGAACACCATTGAAGTTTAAGAGAGATAACTCTAAAAGGATCTCTGGGAATCAAATACTCACTCAACACATAAGAAGCCAATCGAATTAAAACCCTAAATTCAAAATTTCCAAAAATAGAAAGGGATAAACAGAGTATTCAATAAAGAAACTGCAGTTGAATTTAAAAGAAACAGATTGATGTGAAGATTATTATTTTTCAACAAAATACCTGCAGGAGCGACAAATATGGAGAAGGCCATCAGTAGAAAATCCAGAGCATTTATCAAGCTTAAGAACCTGAAGAACATGGCCACGCTCACGTGCCAGTAGCTCAAGATCTTCATCCTTTACAATCATCCTTCTGAAGTGCACAGCTTTTAAGCAAGTGAAAGATTTGGCAAGCTCCTCCACCCATGGCGTCGCAAACCCACCCCAGTCCTCTGGTATTAAGTTATACATGGCGGCGCGTGGCTTTCCTTTCAGCTTCAAAGATTCAAGAAACGGGAACCTCCGCCACAGCTGTTTAGGGGTGGCTGTGTAACACAGAGCTATAGTCACGTGCTTACGTGTCTGAGCTTCGAGCTCGTATAACCGGCGGCAGACCAACGATATAGATTGACGGTCACGTGAGTCGTTTATGTACGATAACACACACTCGAAAACGACATCTGACATGCCGTGAATCCGCTGGTTGGTGTAGCTCCGATCCTCCATAACCAAATTCAAGAAAGGAAATCAAGACGGAATGAAACCAATGGATCGTTAAACCAAGAACAATGGAAAACCAAAATAAAAAACCCAGATAAAATCAACAGGGTCTTCAAGTATGTATTTGGCGTAGTTGAAAACAGTGATTTAGAAAGAAATTTTGTAGATCAACAAAGTCTTGAGATTCATGATTCGAATTGAGGATAGTGATTTAGGAAAGGATTCCACAAAAAACCCTCAAGAAAGAAATAAAAACCCAGTTCAAATGAAGAAGGTTTTGAATTGATTATGAAAAACGAAATTGAAGATATAATTGTAAAGAAAGGATTGATGAGATGAGATCCACGAATGGGGGGCTAGAGAGAGAGAGAAAATAGGAGCAGAGAAGTAGACGGTTAGGATTGGGGAGGAGGTAGAGATCTGACGGCGACAGTTGGAGGAATTTGTATGGGGACCGATAAAAATGGAAAGTTGTTTAAAAAGGCTCTGCAGCCAAGAAACTTTAAGAGAGAGATGGAGGTATTAATGGGTTAATTGGGGAGTTGGCTAAAGATTCTGCAACTCTGCAAACAACAAGATACAGTTCTGTCTCATGATAAACTATATTACCACCACTTTTTTATATTTTTTTATCTAATATATTATTTAGGATATAATCATTCCAAAAGGATATGAATCACCAGAAAATGGTTACATATGCGATAGCCCTAAAATTTAGTTTTTTCAGTTATATAATATATATATATATATATATATATATATAGCCTTGGTTTATATCTATTATTTTTAAAGCAATTTATTTGTTAACCAATTAATTTTTTTTATTTTAATGGATGGGATGACCTTTTTTCTCTTATTATGCTTGTCATTTGGTTAATATTTATGATGTAAATTAATTTTAATTAACGTAAATATTAATATGTTTTCGGATTCCTATCTAAAATATGTTTTAATGGATCATTTAGCAAATGCTTACCTGTTAAATGTTTATTGGATTACTTATATTTTCCCGATGAACATGGAAAGAAACCGGGGATCTTACATGGTAAAAGTGATAGCAAGAACATAGAGTTGTATCATGAGGGTGACAACTCTTATCTGGTTAGCACTTATGGGATAAATTGTAGCATATAATACTATTTTGTTGAACTAAAAATCTTACCTGATAAGTAGGTTAGCATGAGATGTTAAAATTTGGCACGTAAGACTACACAAAACAAAATGACACAAAAAACTCATTGGTTTACGCCTTTTCATGACATTAGACTAGGATGAGACTAAATTGAGTAAGCAAAACTATAAATTTTTTATTCCACCAAAACAGATCGAATAAAAAAAGACGAGACTAAAAAGATAAATTACAAAACTATCACCTTGAATAGTATATTCATAACTCATAAATATGCCATTAGACTTTAAATAAAGCATTTTAAAATTATAAAACCAAAAAAAAAATGGTAAGATGCTTGAAAGCAAGTCTTGAATCTTGTCATGACAAAAATATATAATTAGATATATACATTGTATTCATGTTTTTTTTATTTGTTTTTTTTATGATGATTTATGTTTAGAACAACTCCATTTTCAAAATATAAAAATACACGCAAGTAATTAATCAAAAGAAATTATGATGCTTCACCTTTTACAAAATTAATGCCAAATATTTCATTAAAAGAAACCCTCGATAAATAAAACTACATATTCAATATATTCTGACTAAGGGTGTGTAGAAAGTCATCTGATTCAATATCAACCGACCGATCCAGTTAGAACCGACCGACTATCATTGAATTAATTAATTCAATATAAGCTTTCTTTAAATTCAAATATTTATGCAAACAGGGTATTTCAATGTATAATTGAATTAGTAGCATAAGTAAATTACAAAAAAGATTATGGAATCATTAATTCTAAAGATTATAAATTAAAATTTGAAGAAATAAGGAAATGGGAAAAACTGGGAGTTTAAGGGTTATATTAAATTTTGAAAACAGGAAAAAAAACATCGACAATGAAACATGAGAAACAGAGGGTATTTTCTTCGTCTTTTTAGATTTTATAAAAACGATTTTATTCTGGGAAAAAACGAATAAAAACATGGCATCATTTGCATGAAGTTTTACAATACTTTGTTCTAGAAAACACTCGGATTCTTCTTGTCTGTATCAATTTCAAATCGGTTGTTTGATGCTTGAGATGCCCAAGAGGACACCTGTACAAAACAACAGCAAGCACGTTTTATGTATCATGATGATAATAAAAACATTTTCTGCAAAATTCAAAATACCGAACACTTGTTCTCTCGTGAGTTGTGAACTCAATTTAAAAGATGGTTTCCTAAAATAGGAATCAGATCCTTGACGGGTTACTAATGAGATTTTGTTTTTCAACAACGTGATCTCTTGAAATTGTGAGATTCAATTGTGCCAAAAACCTTTCAAACCCTTTAATAACCTTGTCAAACACATTGGGAGCTGAGTGGATGAATAGGATAAACAACTTAGAAAAAAGGTGTAACGACCACTTATTACAAACTATTACCTCCATATTGATTCACAAATCATATGTGCTACCATATATTTCAAGATTAAAACAAGTCCACTGACACACGCTAGTGTATCAAGATCAACATCCTATTAATTACCAATAAATACACACTTCGTATTATTCTATAAATACGTTAAAAACAAGGGCAACAACGTACGCGTATTAGGATCGTAAGGACCTCCCTTGTTCCACCGACAACCACTGATTACCATTCTTAATTTTCACCACCTAGTTAGCCACCGATGCATACAAACGAACAGAAAAATCCATTGGTAACGAAGATCAATCGTATACTTTGATCTTCTTAGTACCAGCATATATACTTTTTTTTTCATGAAAAACGGTACAAGGCTAGTTGCTGGGAAAAGGCCTCGGAGTTTCTCAACAACCTGTCCCGTTAAAAATCTCTATCTAGTAAAAACACAACAGTTTACAAGGAAAACTCTAAAACCACAAAAAAGCCACATGCATCTGTAAAGACAAGTTAAACATTAAGTTTTTTTTTTTTTTTCTAGACATGAAGCCATATCTACCGGTTAATAACCCACAATTATGGAACAAGCATTCAAGTTCATCCTTTCATTTTAGCCAAAAATTCTCAACGCTTAACCATAAGGGTGGTGCTTGATTGGTTTGAGCTTAACTCCAAAGGTCAAAAGTATCAGGAGGTCTCAGGTTCAAATCCAAGGAGGAATAAAAATTCCCTTGTGGCCACGGAGGTTCAAATGGAGTGACTCCAGACTATCTGCAAAGCAGTTGGTCGCCCTAGGATTAATTAGCTCGCATAGCGGATTATATATCCGGGTTAATAAAAAAAAATCTCAACACTTATGACTTTTTATTTATGACTAATTATGACGTTGAGGACGAATCATACAAACGTTTGTTAACTTGCAAATTGAGTTTAAAGGACCAAGAAAACCATATAAAACCAACCCCGTCAATATCATTGAATTGGATTGGATCGATCTAATATTAAAAATATATATTAAATTATTAAGAATTGTTAAAAGAAACAAAATATGATATGTTGGAATTTGTCGTTTATTTAGTGTGACGGTGAAATAAAAGGAAAAAAAAGCTTATCATAAAATTATATGAAAAGACATCCTAAATAAATAAAACATCACAATTGAAAATAGTAAAAAGGATATTGCAATAAAGGTTAAAAAAACAACAAGAAATAATTGAAAACAGTAAAAACGTTGTCAAAATATAATTTGTCGCTACTTTATAAATAAAAGAATACTTTACATTATTAAGAAACAAGACTCTTATTTGATTGGTTTGAGATTGAGCTCTAAATGTTAAAAGTGTATGAAGTTTTCAGGTTCAAATCGAAGGAGGATAATTATTGAGATCTAACAGAATACTTAGTTATTTTCTTTATAAAAATTATATTATTAAACAAAAAATAAATTACTTCGGCATTAAACCTAAATTAAATTATAATAAAAAATTGAATTAATAATTTACACAAAAAAAATGATAACTTTTATATATTTTTTTAATTTTTATGATATCTTCAATTTTATATTTTATTAAGAAAAATATTATTGTTTGTTCAAAACCACATAAATTCGTATTATAACATCGATAGAGACCAAAAAGATAAAATGAAACATTGAAATCAAGATATATCTCGTTGCATTGCACGAATACCTATATCTCGTTGCATTGCACGAATACCCTTCTAAATTTTTGTAATATATTTCATATGATAAACGATAATAACAAAAATATAGATTATCTTTTAAAAGATATATCGCTTGAAAACTATACATGTTTCATATTTCGAACTTCATTTTGCTTATTAACTTGTAATTTTCCATTCCTAAAAAAATTATCAACAAAAAATGGAATATATTTATCATTTGTCATTAGAATTTTAGGGGTTGTTTATCCAAATGTTTATCCGGTAAATGCTTACCTATATGAGTCAACACTATAATTTATTTTGATGAGTAATATTTTAGTACATCAAAACGTATTGAATGCAACAATTTACCGGGTAAGCGCTTACCTGGGTATGAGTCGTAATCTTCACTTTACCAGGTAAAACTCTCCATCCTTCTCATTGCTCTTACCCGATAAGATTCTTGACCCTTGTCATGTTCATCCGATAAAAAAATTTATTTGGTACACACTTACCAAGTAAGCGTTTAGTAAACGGCCACGTAGTCATAATATATATGGTGACTCATGACAAAATATTTGGATGATTAGTTAAATATCGTTTAGGACAATTGGTCCGTTAATATTAATGTTCTTCAAAATCCCATTGGTTTCGAAACAAAGTAATTAATATCTTCTATGAAACTGTTAATTTTTTTTAAAAGACAACAACATTTATTAAGAAATAACTAATACAAGTACAAGAAAAAGGGTGTTTAGTGTGAGGTGCGATTACCTACCAAACCAAAGAAAACGGACATAAATGAGTAGAAGCTAAGAAAACCACGAAGAAACAACACAACAACCCAACGAAAACTGAATCAACAAAGAGAAACAAGGAGCTCATATGGAAGTTGAAATCCGCTAAGGAGTGTGTAACAACTCATATACCGAATCAACTAGTCCTGAAAATGGATGGCGTTTAAGCGTGCGACCTACATCGAGTAACCATTTACCGAATCGAGTAACTCGAAAACCGAATAACAAAAAACCAATTAAATCGAAACTTATTTTGTTTGGTTATCGATGTTACTTTAAAAAAAATTAAAACCGAATAAACCAAATTAACTATCCGAATAACACCACTACCTACAATTACAAAAACGGCTGTAAAAAATTTAATATCCCCTACTCCACTCCCATATGATATCTCAATATCACATTTGTATATAAACATATATTTTTATATACCAAGAAATATAATTTCATATATTCGGTCTCAATAACTACAAATGCTACATTACAAAGTAGCTAAAATATATTTTTCCACAAAATCTTTATACAAAATTTGTAATATAACAAGTTTTAAAATACAAAAGGTAACATGATATCCTTAAGATTCCATGCAGAAAAATAATTCTTTACAATTTTCCATTTCCCTTATCCTCTGGTTGAGTCCGACTTATAATGCACATTTTTCCAAAAACACTAAAATGAGAGTTAGACTTTGAAGTCTAGTGAAAAATCTCTTTATTGGTTGTTATAGGGTGAAAAATCACCAAATCATATTTATGAAATCATATTTGTAATAATAACAAATAAACATTAGGTTGATATAACAAACCTCATTTATTGTATCCAAACTCCCAACAACTTAATAAACATATTATGAGTGAAACTTGTCGCATTATATCAAAGTTTATATAAATATCTCGTATTACATGGATGAGACAAACTCATTTCCTCGCAACACACTGATGCGAGAATATGAATTTATCGCATCACACTGGTACGATAAACCCAACTTGTCGCATCACAAGGATGCGACAAGACTCGTTACTCGCGTCACACTGGTGCGATAACCACACTTCATCGCATCAATAGGATGCAACAACTTTAAGTTATCGTATCACATAAATATGACAACTATAGGTCACAACATCATATGCTTTAACTATGAATATAAAAAAACTCATATTTTGTAACTCATGATTTTGTCACCTTTATCCAAGCATACATCTCTCTTTGATATGCCACATTTATCCCAATATACATATTTCCTTGATATGTCACCCTTATAACCAAAATACACATTTTCTTAATATGACACATTTATTCCCACAAATTATATACTCATAACAAAAACCCACAATTGTGCTAATTATAGCATCAAAAAAAGTTTATGATTAACAACTCATATAAAGAACCATACGGTTCTACACCCAGTTTCCAAAGAAGAAAAGATGGTAAAAATTTAAACTCACGTTAATCACAAAGAAATGAATAACACTAATCTTCCACGTATAAATCACATAATCAATTAAGTTCTTTCCTCCTTTTGTTTTCCGTCTGATTCACACCCAAGAAAACACACAGAAAAATATTTAAACATAACCACCACAAAACCCTCTTAATTTACCACCGTAATTCAAAAACCACCCCAAACTTTATAACTAAGTAACCAATTATCACATATTCTACTTACAAATTCTTAATCAATAAACAATATCTAAAAGCATGTATCCTGTAACATGACATATGATTTTTTAATCGATCATTTCTGCTAACCGAATATACAACTATTAGAATAACTTATAAAAACCCGTCACAAATACAAAAATAACAATATGACGCGTCATATTTAGATACGCCCACAGGTTCTCCCAATTGGACCAGGTCGTCATGAGCCATAACATATACGGATATGTGTACGTAGTCATGAGAATACTAGTGGGAATTATATATATATTATATTGTGAAATAAAAGTAAAAGAAAGATGTGTTATCACCATCAACTTTATGACTTAATAATGGAAATAGAGTAGTGTTCTTAACTCCATCCGGCGTCATTAGTTGACGTTTTCTTCTAAACTCATTGATTTAAATCCCTTTAATTATATTTAAAATTTTATTAGTATTTAAATATATTAGAAGAATACTCGCGCAATACAGCGAGATACATCTTGATTTTAATATTTTATTTTATTATTTATCTCGGTCGATGTTATAGTATAGTTTTATGTGATTTTGAAAAAGCGATGGTGTTTTTATTTTTGAATAAAATATAAATGTGAATATAACATAAAAATTTGACAAAAATATATCAATATTAATATCAAATTAACTATTTAAAATTCCTATTTTTTGTGTAATTTTATAATTCAATTTTTTATATTATAATTTAACTTAGGCTTAATAACGAAGTAATTTATATTTGGTTTAATAATATAATTTTCTTATAAAGATAATAACTAATTATTTTGTTAGAACTCGGTAATTATCCTAACTATATTTTAAAATTAGATGTTTGTCCTCTAATTGATTATGTTTATCCGCAGTTAGCGAAATTCAAACATGGAGCTTTAATAAGTTGTACTTATGTATAATTTACTTGTAATCTTGAATTTTAAGTAATATGCATTAATATATAGTATTTCATACTTAAAAAAATGAGTTTTAAGAGTTTTTATCAAATGTTTTATAATATAACTAGAAGAGTACTCGCGCAATGCAGCAAGACACATCTCGATTTTAATGTTCTATTTTATTATTTGTCTTTGTCGATGTTATAATACAATTTTATGTGTTTTTAAGAAAACAATAATGATTTTATTTTTGAATAAAATATAAATTTGTAGATATCATAAAAATTTTAAAAAAAAAACATATCAATGTTAATATCAAATCAATTATTTAAAAGTTTTCATTTTTTATGTAATTTTTTTAATTTATTTTTATGTAATTTCTTTAATTTATTTTTTATTATAATTTAATTTAAGTTTAATAACGAAATAATGTATTTTTGGTTTAATAATATAWTTTTCTTATAAAGATAATAATTAATTATTTTGTTAGAACTCGATATTTATCCTAATTATATTTTAGATTTTTTATATTTTAAAATGATATGTTTATTCTCTAATTGGTTATGTTTATCCGCAATTAGTTACGCGAATTCAAACMTGGAGCTTTAATAAGTTGTACTTATGTATAATTTACTTGTAATTTTGAATTTTAAGTAATATGCATTAATATACAATACTTCAGACTTAATAAAGAGTTTTAAGAATTTTTATCAAATGTTTTATAATACAGTATATATTACATAAATCCCTCATAATTTTTATATTAAATACCCATATGTTATATTTTCAATTAAAATTACAACTTGTATGCAATTTTTTTGAAAACCTGGTTTATATTCAAATGGTTTTTTTTTTTTTTTAAACTTTTTGTTACATCTATTTTTCATTTTGTGTCGATGGTTAGGTCACAAAAAACGACATCAGTAATGATTTTTATAATTTGAGAGTTTCTCGAAGATTTAGATAGCGATGTTTTCTTTTAAATTCAAGAGTTTCTCGAATAGTTAGATAGCGATGTTTTTTTTTAAATTCATGAGTTTCTCGAAGATTTAAACAGTATTGTAGACATGAATACATCAGTAATATATTACAGCGGTTATGTGACTTTTGTTCAATGAGACAAAGCTATAAGTCACTAGTTATGGTAACACAAGGGAGTTGTACCCATGCTACGGTTAATTAAGGTTTAACCTAACTTCTTTAAGCATATAAAAATAATTGTGTAATCTAAAAATCATGATTAATTTTTATCAAGGATTGTTTTATTTAGAAGCGTTCACGTTGCAGTGTGGTTTAGGACTAAAATCATAACCAAACCACATGCACAGCTTAAGCAGTTCTCCGAACCACAAACAACATTAATATTAAGACAGATATATATCATCAACCATTAATATTAAGACGCACATTGATATTAATATGCGGTCCGTTGCAGTTTAAACAATGTTTTGAGTAATTCAAAATTACAAACTGAATCGTAAACTGTACCGTTAAACCCTTAAATTGTATTGTTTAATGTTGTTTGGTACGGTACAAATAGGTTATTTTGGTTTTAATTGTAGATATAAATTATGTGTTTATATTGGATGTATTTAAATAATGGGTACCAATTGGAACAATCATAACAAGACAACAAGATGTGAGTTTAGAACATAAATTGCATCGAGATTTAAACTTTAGGATTAAGATTAAGATTAGGGGTGTTATTATCCGACAAATAAAGAGGCAAAATCAAAAAGTAAGGGTATCTTTTAGGAGTGGGCCCTACTCTTTATAAGACATCACGACCGTACATGTCATCTGAATAAACTATTCAGCATTAGATACCTACAAATCATTTGTTGAAACTTAATTTATTCAGATATTTTAATACTTAGAAATAAAATTTAAAAACTATTTAAAGGGTGTCTGAGATCACTTGTAAAAATAAGTTATTGACTTATTTTGATATGATATTGGTAATAAGTATTTTTAATATTTAAATAAATAATTTATATCGGTATCAAATCGATAATAATTTTTTTTTAAATTAAATTCTTCTGATTTATAATAAATTTGATAAATGATAAAAAACTTAAGAAAAAAACAATTCAAATTAAATAACGTCTTATCGAATAAGTGATTCATTCGTTGTTACGAATAAAAAATGTAAAGAAGTATGAAAACTAAATCAACTCGTCTCCCGTTTCTTCGGCTCTTCCCACTCAAAAACATTCTCCACCCAAAATCCATAATCGATTAGGGTTTATTTATACAGGGCGAATCAAATTCAGGTTGGAAGAATTATCTATCTATATATATATATATATATTCCTTGATCCCTTCTCTGATTTGCTTGTTATTCTTTTTATCGGATGTTCTGTTTGAAGCTTGGATTGAAATTATATACGTTTTCGGACTTGGATTTGAATGTTATTCAATTGGATTTATAGTTAGTTGAATGAATGTGTGAGGCCCGGATTTTGTAGGAATCGGAATAACAATTATCAAGCTTAGGTTTGGGATGTTTGTGATTAAAAAGAGTAACGTGGTTATGGTTTTGAGGGTTTACTGCTAATTATTTGGAGTTGAAATGGGGAAACCTACGGGTAAGAAAAAGTTACAGGCCAGAGCGGAAGAGGTTATAAAACAGAATAAAGCAGAAAGAAGTTCGAAACAAATTGATGAAGATACTGCTGTCTTAATTCAAATGTCTCAGGAGTTGAAGGAAGAAGGAAACAGATTGTTTCAAAAGTGTGATTATGAGGGGGCAATGTTGAACTATGAGAAGGCTCTTAAGTTGTTACCTGCAAACCATATAGATGTTGTGTCTTTACGCTGTAATATGGCTTCTTGTTATATGCAGATGGGTATTGGGGAGTACCCAAGGGCAATACATGAATGTAATTTGGCTCTTGAAGGAGCTCCCAAGTATAGCAAGGCTCTGTTGAAGAGAGCTAGGTGTTACAAGGCTTTGAATAAGTTCGAATGTGCATTGAGAGATGTTAGAGATGTGTTGAGTATCGAGCCAAACAATGTCACAGCGTTGGAGATTCAAGATTCGGTGAAGAAGGCGACTGAAGAGAAGGGTTTAAACGTTGAAGGGACCGAAGTTGTTTTACCACCTCAAGATACAGAGCCTTCTGCATTGAAGAAGGTCAAAGTGTTGAAAGAGAAGTTGAAAAAGAGGAAGAGCAATAGAAATGAGAAAAAGGGTGCTGAAAACGTCAACCAGAGTAAGGCTGAAGGTGAAGAAGTCAAGGAAATCAAGGTTGAAGAGGGTAAGGATAGAAAGGTCGAAAAAGTTGGGGACAACAAGGTTAAGAGAGTTAGGGACAAGAGGATTGGTCTGGTGGAAGTGAAGAAGGCGGAGGCTAAGGTAGTTGTTGAGGATGAGAATAGCATTGAAGAAGAAAAAGCTGTCACGAGGTTGGTAAAATTGGTTCTTAGGGATGACATAAGGTGGGCGCATCTACCTATTAGTTGTAGCGTTAGTTTAGTGAGGGAGATAATTCGGGACCGTTTTCCCGGCTTAGAGGGTGTGCTTATCAAGTATAAAGATCGAGAAGGAGATTTGATCACCATCACAACCACTGCCGAGCTGAGGCTGGCTGAGGCTTCCAGTGATCCTCAAGGTTCTCTGAAACTGTATCTTGTAGAAGTTAGTCCAGATAAAGAGCCACTTTACAAGGATTTCACAAGTGATGGATTTCCTGAGGCCAGTGGCTTAGTATCTAGTGTTTCCAAGGATGGTAATGTGGGAAAAATCGGGGAAGTAGAGAAAGTTACTACTTGTGTAGAGGACTGGATTGTCCAGTTTGCAAGGCTCTTCAAGGATCATGTGGGATATGATTCTGATTCATATGTGGATCTATATGAGCTAGGAAGGGAACTGTCGTCAGAAGCAATTGAAGAAATTGTTACAACTGAAAATGCTCAAAAGCTTTTCGATATTGCTGGAGCAAAGTTCCAAGAGATGGCTGCTTTAGGATTGTTTAACTGGGGGAATGTTCACTTGAACAAGGCAAGGAAATGGGTGGTGTTTGCAGAAGATGGAACCAATGAATCAATAAAAGAGCAAGTGAAGACAGGATATCAATGGGCAGAAAAGGAATATGTAAGCGCAGGGATACAATACGAAGAGGCTCTAAAGATCAAGTCAGACTTGTTTGAAGGTTTTTTTGCGCTTGGACAGCAGCTGTTTGAACAAGCAAAGCTTTCATGGTGCTACACGCTTGGGACCAAACCGAGTTTAGAGGTGGGGCCTCCTGCACAAATCTTGGAGCTATACAATAAGGCTGAGGACAACATGGAACATGGAATGCAGATTTGGGAAGAATTGGAGGAACAACGCCTAAATGGATTGAGCTTATATGATAAATATAGAGACGACTTGATAAATTTGGGCTTGGAAGGGTTTCTAAAAGATATATCTACTGATGAGGATGCAGAGCAAACTGCAAACTTGAGATCTCAAATGTATATCTTATGGGGTACCTTGCTTTATGAGCGATCTATTGTGGAATTTAAGATGGGTTTGTCAGCCTGGGAAGAATCTTTGACAGCTTCAGTTGAAAAGTTTGAGCTTGCTGGAGCCTCACCAACAGATCTAGCAATACTTATAAGGAACCATTGCTCCAATGGAACACCTTCTGAAGGTAATTCACACATACTCATAAAAAATGAAGAGTATTAAGAATGGACAAATTGCAATAAGTAGCACCTTACTTTCACTTCATTTCTAATTAGGTCACTGGACTTCAAAAATCGTTATTAATACCATCTAATTTCCAAAACCATCTAACTTCCAAAAACAGTTATAAAAAGTCATTCAACATTGTCAACATTTAATATATTCTGGTCAAAGTTACCTAAAATAATCAATTTCGAAAAGTACTCGGCGATTTAGTAACAAATGTTAAAGTACAATGATCAAATTAAAACAGAAGTGCTAAGTACTTTGCTATTTAATGCAATATTCCCTATAAGAATCAAAAGAATTTATTAGGTTGTTTGTTTTTCCGGATAAGAGAATGTTATACTTATTTTTGTATTTGCAAAAGGGCAGGTCTTGGTTCCAAAATTGATGAAATAGTTCAAGCATGGAATGAGATGTATGATGTTAAAAGGTGGCAGACTGGTGTTCCATCTTTCAGGCTAGAACCACTCTTTCGGCATCGGGTCTCAAAAGTACACTCTGTCATGGAAAGTCTCTGAGACTTTCATTCGTATCTTTGGCATTTCCTCACCACAATTAAAAGACACCGTATGATTTAGACGTTGCTTAGAGCCCTATGATTGTCAAGTAAGATTGCTAATCCTTTTAACTTTTATTATGCTTTCTGTATAATTAGGAGTGACTGCATACTATTTTCATCAACTAATTGCTCATGGTAGGGATATTGCATGATCATCAGATATTTATGCAGTAGTTGGTATGAGTTGACTTTGTGCAGAAGAGGAATAGGTCTTTATGTGGTTATTAACTGCATATCATAAAAGGCAATGCTAATTTATTAATCAACAACAATGCAATGTTTAGCACTTGTCTGAAAGCTGTTTTAGAGGCAATGTAGTGAGTGTGACATTTTATTTCGATTGAATGTATTAAATATCATCACATCAACTATACTATTCAAAGAGTAATAAAAGCATTAGAAGGTTGTGAACATTTAAATACACTTGGGTGACGTTTGACACTCTTGTTCTGTTTCATTTTTAGCTAAATTCATAAATCTTACCCATTTCATTCGACCCGTTGAAGGTAAAATATAACCCAAGTTGACACATTTTTAGGTAAAATGGGTTGAAATTTCAACCTCTAATTCTCATTTTACTTCATCTATCATGTGTAGTGTAGATGCTGCCTTTTGTTAGCCAATAGTTTGCTCTATACATTCTGAAGCTTGTCATCATTTCATCCTCCCTTTCATCAATTAAGATGATATCATCAGAGGAAATAGTACACCATGGTACAGCATGATGCATGTTCTTGTTGAGCTTATCCATAACTAAAGCAAATAGCCAATGTTTTGCTCTTGTTTTTCAGAAATCGATGATAATCCAATACATGCCATCTTACGATGTTCATATATCCGATTGCTAAATTGTTATACCATGAGCTAAGTTGGTTACCTATCTCTGTATTCAAAATGATACCATCGATGTATTCTGCAGGTTTCTTTGTAGATTGTTGTCTTGACTTGCAATTGGAGGTGAAGATGCAAATAGCGAGTTGTTCTTTTTGTATTAAGGATGCATGGTTTGTTTGTAGAAGGAAAATGTAGGTGTAAAGCATTGATAGTATAGGGTGGCTTCTCTTGCTCATGTTAACTGTTGAGCAAACAGGGTTGTGCAGTTTTTGGTAATTGTTTCTGATTCATTCTTGTATATAATAATTAAAAATAAATAAAGTTTAAAAACTGTTCTGTTATTGTTGGAACAAAAAGTTCTGGTGCCGATTGATTTAAGCTTGGGCTCCAAAGGTCAAAAGTATCTGAAAGTTTCAGGTTTGAATCCGATGAGAAATAAAAAACCCCTTGCACGGAGGTTCAAATGTGGTGACTCCGGGCTACCCGCGAAGCAGGTGATTGTCGATTAGTCAGCTCGCATAGCAGGTTGGACATCCAAATTAATTAAAAAAAAGTTTCGGGTTTCACATTTTTCTAACACAAGAAAATGACCAAGAAAACTTTCATGAAATTCTGTCATATTTTGTTGTCGTAAAGGCACTGCACCATTAAAAGAACACTTGGGGCCTTTAACTAAATACTTACCTCGGTAAGTGCTTACCAGTTACCTTACTGGGTGAACATAACAAAGACTAAGGGGTCATTTACCTAAACACTTACCGGTAAAATTCAACACTATCGCTTACTTACCAGACAATACTTTATTCACTAAAACGCATCGTATGCAACAATTTATCCCGGAAAACGCTAACCATGGTAAGAGTCCTCGTCTTCACTTACTGGGTAAGACTCGATATTCTTACCTTCGCTCTTACCCCGCGTAAGATTCTTAGTCCTTGCCGTATTCATCCGGTAAAGTAAAGTGACTTGGTAAGCGCTTACCCGGATAAGCGTTTGGTAAACGGCACCTAAGGATCTTACCCATTAAAAGGGAGACAAAGATTGAGAATCTTAGTCTGTTTACCAAACACTTACCACGTAAGTGCTTACCGGTAAAATTCAACATTATCACTTGTTTACCGGGTAAGATCTCAACAAAACGGTATCTTATGCAACAATTTACCCGGTAAGCACTAACCGTGGTAAGAGTCGTCCTCACTTATCGGGTAAGACTCTTGGTTCTTGTCTCGCTTTTACCGGGTAAGATTCTTGGTCTTTGCCATATTCATCCGCGAAGGTAATGTGACTTGGTAAGTGCTTACCCGGGTAAGCGTTTGGTAAGCGGCCTCTTACGCCGTAAGGGAGAGTGATGACTCTCGTCCAGTAAGTGCTTACCGGGCCGGGAATGTTACCTATAAGATAAATTAAAGTGGTGACTCTTGCCGGTAAGCTTTTGATAAACGACGCCTTACCTTGTATTCTCCTCTGTTTAAAAAAAAAATAGATTACTGAACTTGCATCCTTCATAAGAGAACAACTACTAAATTTCATGCAATTCAAGTCCAAATGAGTTTGTCCTTGATATTGATATGGTAAGTTCAAAACTCATCTTTAGGTATAATACACCAAGAAACATCAACCCCTATTGGTAAAAACACCATCACTACTCTCTGTCCCAAGTAATATCCCTATAACCAACCATTCTTGATGTTTGAAGCTTAAATTCACTTACTTTTCTTATGTTCTTTAGCATAATCGTTTACGAGCCCCTCAACATCTTTCCAGAATAGACCTTCCACCAACACTCCATCCTTTGTGAACCTGCAGAAAATTCATGTACCTTTAGAAACAGAGCAGAAGAAATCACAGAATGCAACAGGTAAAAGATTCGTTCCGCAACGGTACTACAGCATTTGCATAAGGTATATATATATATATAGAGAGAGAGAGAGAGAGACCATTTGGTAACACTTTTGGTGAACTCCACTGTTGGCTTTGCAGAAATAGATTTGGGATCAGCGCTGGCTATTGTAAGTGTATACATATCAGAGAATCTGGGCAACTTTGAAGATATCATCAAGCCAGTGCTGTTGTAAGCCGACCCCTGTCAAAATAACACATGCTAACTGTAACCAGTTTACACTTTATGAAAGCTATTAACAGGCCGGGATCCACAGTGAGTTTTACTTCTTCCGTACAATAATTTCTGGAAGAATTATGTGCACATGAGTTGATGCGACACCCCGATAGTGGAAATTTTATCATGACAAACACGTCCTTGTTTACTAAAGAGGCTTCAAATAGTCTTGTTGCGCAATGTGCTAAATACTTCTTACATCCAATTTATAGAAATGTACTCCATGTTTGCATGTAAGTGCATGTAGCATATAGGTAAAGAAAAGACTGCATATTGTTCAAAGCATAAAATTCAAGAATGCAGTATATACACGGTAGATTGTGCAAAGAATATATCATACAGGTAGAGAAAAGACAGCATGTTATCCAAAACATAAAATTCAAGATGCCAAATTGGAGTCCCAACATTAATTAGTCTAAACTTTAAACTGATTCTCTAATTCAAACTATAAGCCATTAGCCTTAGCTTCCAAACATCTTATTCAGTAAGAATCTGAAAGGGCCAAAGAAAATTTAAAAATCTGAAGCAGGTAATTTAAAATTGAGGGCTATATATCAGCAATCCATGAACTGCTATGTAAGACGATAAACCCATAGTAGGCACTAGGACAGGGCATCCAAACAAGGCCTTCAAAATATATGTAAGCCTATACATGACTGGTTTCAGGCAGAGTATCAGCCTTAAATCTGGATAATCTGTGGCAGAGTATTCAAAAGTTTAAGGACATATTTGGTATATGAGAAAATTTTAGAAAGAAGAATGATATAATAGACTGTCCTCAGTGTCAACAAAAACCGAGTTTGTTGAGATAAAACTGATGTGAAAAATATCAAGATAGTCTATATCCTTGTTTTTAGGTTAAACCCTTGGTTAAATCCAAAGCAGGGTATCTCAACTGCAGTTTGAGTAGATTACCTCAAAAACTGCAGCTTCTTGACAAGAACATTCTATTATTCTTGCTGTTCTTCGTTTCACCAAAAGGCTTTCACCTGAAGAATGTAGATATAAGTTTGTGCTAGACAGGTCATTGTTGGAGTTGGTAGTTTAAGGTCCAACAATGAACAAAATTCCTGTTCATATTGTACTAGTGCAGGGACTTGATACAAGAGACACCATCCTATCAAGAAAGCATATGATATCAAGCATTCATAAGGCAAGGTTTCATCGGAGATCCATTTTGCATCTTGCCATGTGATTTTGTCATGTTATTGAACTTGTTCCAACACCTTACATAAAGCTAATATCAAGTCTAGATCTGCAGAATTCTCCAATCAGTAGGTGATTTATTGCATGTGGAAACCCATCTGCCCAAACTTTTTGGGTGACCTCCTTTTCTTTCTTCTATATAACACACTTAAAGACTACATATCTCTCTTAAATCTTTATTTACTTTCCCTTCACCAGAATCTTTATGTTGTCATTTTCCCCCTTTTGTCCTTCCTTCTAATTGTTTTTTTTCTTAGGTTAATGGCAGCTTTACTTTATGCCATATTCTTCATAAAATCTGACTCAAAGGGATAAGATTTATGAAAATAAAAAACCAGATTTATAGTCAATTTCATCCTTTATTTCTTATGACGCCAGAATTCCACTTTTAAACTCTCCAAATATTCTAATATTTCTAACTCTATGACGTGTGATCAGATTCTTGGTTCCTCCAAAAAGGTTCCATCCTCGTAACATTAAGTCGAAGGTAGATATACTATATGCACATTAGCAGGTTCCAAGGCACATGACTGGTGTCTGGTAGTGTCATTCTTGCTTTTTCTGAATTTTTTCCGGAAGTAAGGTTAAAAAAATATGGAGAATCATGGTACTGTTAAAAGGAATTCATCTGGTCCTTGCTTTTGGATGCTCTTCCTTTTAAGTAGAGTGATTCTCTACTTAATGTTAATGCCCAGTCACCTCCTAGTAAGTAACAACACAATTTTATATGTCAACAAAATTACATCTGATTTATACTAACATTGTTATAGCCAACAAGCCCATGTAGCTTACTTGCAACTGACGCAAGTGAGCACAAATCCTTCAAAATTCACAAAGAGGATGAAATCTTTTCTAAAAAGGCTAAGGAGATTACAAAGGCTGACAGTGAAGAAATATGATATCTCCCTCCTCAAGAAGAAGCCAGGGATTGGAGCGTGTCCTAACTTTATGGAAGATTTATGGCAACCACCACATGTTACCATCAAAGTCGCCAGAAGATTCTTGATAGAATAAATATGTGCAGTGACACATTTTATCACCTGATAATTACAAAACTCTCTTCAAGAAAGGAAAAAGTGGTAAGTTTTATGGTGGATGTTGCCACATATATTCTCTATTTCCAACAAGTTGATAATCACACACTCTTCAAGAAAGGAATTTATAAGTCATCCCACATTTCAGGCTCCTGTAAGAAATTCCATTTGCTACTTAAAGAACAAAACCAGGTAACATCATATATCCACTTCATACACAAGCCAAATCCAGTTCAATAATGTACATCAGTTTTTCCCCTTGAAAGTACACCATCTACAAAATGAAATTCAAAAGTAGACTAGATAGTTGCTTATCAATATTCTCACCAGAAAAAAGCTAGAACAAAAGGTTTGAATAGAAAAACTTACTGCAGGAGGATAGGTAAACAAAATTGCATTCTTTTCCTTGGTGTAGATGATCAGCTGCAATATCCCGTTGAATAATACATACTTGCAACAGTCAAAGATCAAACACATTCTATTTTGAAATAGTAACAATATAATGGAACTTGTATGGGGATTAATCATGCATAAAAACATAATGCACCAAAACGCTACAAATTGAAAAGGATATAATACGATGCACCCGATGAGGTAATTTTTATTATCAGGGAACTTCTTGTTGTAAAACTGAGCAAACAGGGCGATAACGATAATGATCACACCAATCAACAATCTAACATTACTCATCCTCACATCTTCACTGTAACCACGGCTTGTCACGATCTAAACCACATAAATCCAAAACGATTATGAGATCCTTGAAGCATAACGAAATATTAGAGACTTTCGAAATCAAGATGTGTGCGAGTGAAGTTGTGTTGTACCTCAGATACAGATTCATCGAGTAAGTGTTTGATGGAGTGATGATCCAAGAGATTAGCCTTTTTAGGGCTTTTAGTAGAGGAATTGGCGGTGGTGCCGTTGGTGGCCGTCATCTCCGATTCCTTTTCCTGTTTTTACGATTCAAAATGTCTAGGGTTTGTCTTAATTTTGTATTTGGGGGTTTTATTTACTGCATCCAGTAAGTAGTACATGGAAAGAGGACGGAAATTTGCAACCGCCGGACGTCGATCCTAGTTGAATTTACCAAACCGGACTACATCTATCGAGTTTAGTACACATTAAGCCCTCCAAAAAAAGAAATTTGCTTTATAGACCACAAAAGTATCGCCTAATTTTTTCTAAGTACATAATATTTAAATACAGAAAAAGAAACTTACACACACATTTTGAGGTTGAAACCTTTGCCCTTTAGAAAGATTAGGTTACCGAACACCGTCGGATCAAAGATCCTTTGTTTTTTTATTTTAAATATTCTACTGTTGCTTCCATAAAAGCAAGTTCAGACAGCTAAACCTTAATAAATCAGGGTTCAAATCAAATGCTCAACCAAGATTTTTCTTGGCCAACCCTTGTCCGGTCTGAGATCCTTACAGAATCGAACGAGAGACTTGGACCGAGGTTGTAACATGTCTTTGGAGGCCGGATCCAGTCCACGGTCAAAATTCAATTCCCAGTCCATTCCACAACTGTTCAAATACCAAGTTTCATGAGATGAAACAAAACCAAACAACATAGGAAAGGATAAGAAAGGTGGGGCTATTACAACATTATCCTCACAATATCAATCGTCCAGTTTATACATATTACACCAATACCTTACAATGTCTTGAAGCTTTATCCACTAAACAATACACCACACACTCAAATGTAACAATCATCATTACTAATTCTTTCTATCAAATGCCCACATTTTCTGCTTCTGAATCTTTTTCTATAAGAAACATCTGACTATTATTTTGAGATGCGTCCGGAATCGAATCATCGTAAAGGTTTTGATTGAACAGCGTTAGCTGCATCTTTCAATAGCAGCCATCGAGCTCCATTCACAAGTTCTTCCTTTACCATGAACAAAACCGCTGCTGCAAGAACGCTTTGTACTATCTTTGTATTCATTCCTTTGTAGAAGCCATGGAGCCCTTCGTAACGTATCATCTTCAAAATTGCATCCAGTGTACCTGATGGAAACACAGCTTTAGCAAATACTAATCTTTTTCAAAAGATTAAAGATCGTGAAAAAGAATACGCGAATAGAAACATCTCGTACGTTATGGGAGGTAAGTAGGTTCTCTCTGATTTAATACAAAGAGGAACGTGTGACGTAACAATTTCATAAGCAAAGATACGTGTACCTTTGTACTGATGCTTTTTGTCTACCCCAATCGCTTGCTTTGCTTGGAGTCTCGACTGCAAAATGCAAAAAAAAATCATTTAAAACACGGGAGAGAATAGATTTACTCTCCCTACACCCTGGGGTGATGTTGCGAAACGATTAAAATCGGGCAGCAGTTTTCGAGTCTTTTGACACCTAATATCGTTAATTACGAGTTAGATTCTGGAAAAAAGAGAAGTCATTTTATAGATCTGATGTAGTTGCCATTGCAGATGGTACTAGTCAGCTCTGAAGTGGGACTTGTGGCACCCTAAACTAGTGATGGCCAAAAACCGGTCCCGGGCTGGTCCGAACCGGTCCCAAGTTTTTTCATAACCAGCCATAACCGGTCCCGGTCGAAAATGGTAAGACCGGTCAAGGTTCTTCACCACCGGTCCTTTGCCGGCGGTCCCGGGCCGGTTTGGCCATCACTACCCTAAACTACTAGTTACAGATGGCATTCGCTGGCTTGGTGGAATATGTCGACGAGTTAGAATTTTTTGGTTCATATAATCTTTTCATGATGTCCAAAACAATTCTAAACATAATACAGCAACAAGGTTCCAGAAATAAGACACTTCCATCAGGAATTACTGGGTCTTAATCCAATCACTGATTTCACAAAATTATGTACACTAATTACTACAAAGCTCCAACGATAAATTTCTGTAGGACTTCCAAGTACTTACCTTTACAACTAAAAGAGGATAAGTTACGACCGTAGCCCCAAGTTTTGCCAACGCCCCAAGCAAAAAAACCTGAAAGATTATGCAGAGTTGTCAGATGCTGCCTACAGATAAGAAAGGGAGAGCTCAGTATACTTCTAGAGAATTACAATAAGTATGTTGGCCATGTTTGGCAATCATAAGCTAGCTAATTTTTTGAGCTTATTGACTCATTTGGTTAGCCATATACATAGAGGTAGCTTTTTGGTATAAGCTAGCTTTTAAAAAGTTGCTTCAAATAGCATTTCGATGAAGCTCCAAAGGTCTTTTTCCACTTTTTCCAATTATGCCTCTTATATTTTTCAAATTAATTTTTCAACATGTTCTTTTAGGTCATTTTACATTGCCATCTATCTAGCTTATCAGCTAGTTTACCAAACATGACTAGCTTATCGATTAACAGCTAGCCTATCAGCCAACAGCTAGCTTGCCAAACATAGCCATTAGATGATTATTTGAATAATCTACAGTAAGTTGATTAACAGGTACTTGCCTCTAAAGCAGTTACACCTTTGTTACTCTGGCTCGAAGCACGACGCTGCTTCAACTTCTTTAGTAGGGTCTCATACAGCATAAACTGTATGGAAGGATTGCTGACCTGGTAGAAACAAATAGGGACAAGAAGTGACAATCCTACAGCATGGACCAGAGCTAATTGACACATACCATAACCAATGTCGGGAAAACGCCTTTCCAGAATCCCCAGATTCCAGCTTCATCAAAGACTTCTTGAACCTGCAGAAAACAAACTACTTGAATTAGAATCTCAAGGACTAAATCATCCATAAAATCAACTGTAAGTTAAGCCCAACCAGTTGAATCATATTTTCAATGGCCAACACTATGGTATTGAATAACAATCAAAACGATACTCGGGGAACTATGACCTCGTAGTTACACAACTTTTTTGCAAGATGTGATATGATTTCCTTTGTGTATCCAACAGGGCAACACCCCATACCCTTTGTTACATGTCATTTGATTGTTTTTTCTTCTCGGGTAGATAACATTTCTTAAGCTGCTTAACAAGACTTTTCAATATCCCATTTTCACATCCCCACAGATACCACTTCTACCTCCAAAACTAATCACTTGACATTAATGCCAAACACATCATGCAAGGAATGAAAACTGAAAGTGACTTCTCGAATAGGTGATAGTTCCACAAAAAAGGAACATTACAATGGAGCAAAGAGCTGAAGAACAAAACAGACCTCAAATGTCAATAAAGTAGGTTTTGCTAAACTAAACAAATATCCAGCTACTCCCCTGAGCTCCATCAACCAATCCCACAGAGGATATACATACTTTCACCCATCCATATAGAAAATCCTATCCTTGAGAAAGGTGTCACAAATAATTTAATCCACATGTAATCATAAATTGTCTTATGAAAAAAATTGCAAGATTTAGTACAACATCAAATTATACATAAAGACAAACAAAACATAACAATAGTGTACTTTCAAGGGGTCATGTGCAAGATTAAAAGCACTAAACAAAACCCATTTAGAGAACATTTAGAATTAGGAGTAGCTCACTCGAACCAACTTTGACACCCACAGCAGAAGAAAATCATCCAGCCATTTTTTGAATATAGTTTCATAAAGACAGGAAGATTCTTAGAATTGTTAATGGCTAAATGCTTAGCAACAGAGTATGATGTGACTAAATTATGACAGTGTAGAAGCAAAATGGAGGTGTACACCAACACATACCGCATGACTAGTTGCATAGGGAGGTGGTTCAATTCCACCAACAATCGCATGTTCTGAAACAATAGGTTGAACCTGGTTCAATGGAGATTTCTTTGTGTGGGTCTGCAAAATGAGTTACATTAGAACCTATAATGTCATCACATGTCTTATAGTCAGAAAGATTGAATCCTTCATATTCAAAATGTTCTTCCTCCTTCCCACTAGGGAGGAAGGGGAGGATCATAAAATACAGGTACCTTAAGCACGTAGAGTAATAATAACTTTATGTTAGGGAAAGCAATACACCCTTTTATTCCATTAGCCAAGACGGAGTGAGGATATGGATGGAAAATGAACATGTATAAACTCATTTTTTCCACAAAATTTAGTTCCAGAATTGACATCTTGGTTTTAATATTTTAATAATCTAAACAAGAAATTGAAATCATTTCAAAGTAGAGATACAGTTTTCAAATCAGACCAAGATGTGTCTAACTAACAGAACAAGCCGCCCTAGCATAGGCTGGGGAAAATGTAAGACTGTCAGATCACTTGCTTACATTGATAAAGTACACAGCAAACCAAGATAAAATATGATGATCCTCAGAATTTATTTTGCTTCCAGCAATAAACATCATTGGTCCAGGAGATACAGGGTACTGGGAAACCATTTTAAACAGGTAGCTATTCCAAGAAAATCCACAAAATACTATTTTGTATCAAAACCTAGAATTACATAGCCTAGTTATCAGACTTAATAAGTAAGCATAAATCTCCTCACCTGCATACGGGTAACTACTACCCAAATAGGATTTGTCAGCAGCACATTCACACACCTACAAGACAAGTGCTTGATATCAAATAGAGCAATATAAACTATGCAATTGATAGACGTCCTGGTTTTTAATGCCTCGCCAATTGTAGAGATAAAATAATCCAGAAAATTGATGGAAAAAAAGAAAGAAAGAAGGAAAGAAAAGAATGCAAGAGAAGAAATGTCATCGATAAGATAATATTGTTTTGGTGACTGAACAAGAAAAAGAGAAAGCAAAAACTGGTCTTAAATTTAGTTGAAAGACGGGAAAGGTTTTAAATATATGCCATTCATGGGTGTCTTTTGCTCCAAACAACACAAATTTTGCAGAAGTGGATGGCCAAGGAACAAGACAAGCATGGCTAATTTTAGGATTTCACACTCAACAAATGTGAAGTAAGAAGTTAAGAACAAATTACCCAGACATAGCAGCCACCATGAGTGATGAAAGCATCCCAACCGATCCATCTCCAGCTCCTTCCTTCTTACGTCTAAGTGCAGTAGCTTCAGCTTTGCTCCTGAATATTTGATAGAAATAATAGTAAACACCCTGTAGCATAGAAATAGGATGGCAAGAATCAGACATATTGGTCACTGAATTTGTGTTTGTTCCCATATCAGGATTTTCTATGAGTTAACAACCCACCTAATGTACCTACAAATTTAATAACCTTAAAGGGGATGCATGAGAAACATAAACATAACAGCAGTCATATAGCCAAACACTAATTATTAACAAAACTCACACTGGATATTGAAAAAATAGATTTTTTTAATGACAAAGGCCTACAGATCAACAGGGTACCTTTGGCAGTTTGGATACCATAGAAACATTGGCAACATGCACATTATACCAAGATCAGGAACAATAACTGACAGCTGGAAATACTTGTTTATTTTCACGATACATTCTTCACAAGGTTCATTAGACCCATATTTAAAGAAAATCTCGTGTGACGATAACTACAAAAGGCTCTAATTTGAAAATTCTTTACTTTACGGGTCAGAGATAGCTTCACATTTTGGTAATCTTAATCATGCATTAAACGTCATTCAATGGTGAACTATTCATTAGATTCCTAGGAGGCCACTTGGTCTATGGTTCTTTTAATTCACAGGTATAGAGCTTTACTCCCAAACATTTGTCAGATGGCTCATGTGTTTCAATGAGCTAATAGGTTCTGCAGTTCATTTAGCCTCTCTTGCCAGCAGCTCTTCTCCTCCGTCCTTGTTTTACCCCCGCGAACTCAGCCTTGCAGTTTTTTGTTGTTTGTAGAAGGTACTAAAGGAAGCTCCGCTCCAAATCTTCTTGAAGCTGCTATGTTAACGTATATCTCCTTTTGGTTCTTTTGTCTAACTTCTACTTTGCAGTTACCCGACTCCTGATTAGGTTCTCTGAGATTTCTTTATTGTAGTTTTTCCTTCTATAGGGAATTTTGACAAGGTTATGATACACCAATATTCATACCTAGTACTTCCCTGAACCATTTTGTACTATTGGGGTTATGCTATACCATGCCTGACATGTTTGATTGAGGTTATTACTATTAGACTGCTTAAATAATATTTATCTTACATGCCTACGGGAGGAAATTATTAGAAAATTAAAAAAATATGTAATGCTTGATGCTAAGCAAGGAACAGAAGAAAAACATAGCATCTACATGTGGTCATGGTTGGCAAGATATGATAAAGGAAATCAAAAAATAAATGTCAGCATCAGTTGCTACATATCAATGTATTGTTTTACAAATATCACCTTGACTATACTATCAAATGTTTCTTAGAACTTCAAATTCTAATATATCAAGATTTACACTCTTTATGGATTCATGTAATTTTTGGTACTCCATTTGACAAGTCAAACATAAATGCATATTAAAGTTGCAACATTATTTTTTGGTCTCTCATCTGGATTGCAACTTTTCCTTACTTGGCAAATACTTGAGCTGAATTTACTTTTTGCTCATGATCATCATCATCATCAATTACAAGCTGTAATTGCAATTGCAATGACCCATGCGAAAATAGGAGTATGGAACAAACCAATCAAGGATATAACATTGGAATATGTCTTCACATGAAAACAAAAATAATAGAAAATCATCTGTTCTCTCTACCAGTATTCAAGAAAAGAATGGGCCTAAAGATAAACAAGCGCAGATCACACTGTTCATTAAGATGGCACGGTTTCCACTGTCGTGGACCACACATATCCACACTTATAAATTCCAGTCCCAACTTTGCCTGCTACTTGTGAACAGGTGAAAAGCCACAACATACCTTCAACTCACCTCACATGTTTCCTTTTTTCAAGACAGATTTACTTTAACTGTGTTTATTCGACAACGAGTAACTTCTGATGAAAAATTGCAGCTACATACGTTGTAAACATAAAACAAGTTTGCCATGATTCCCCTATTTTGCACCCATTTTATCTCCGTATGTTTGATTCCGGTAATTAACACTGGTAAATATACAGTCAGTAAGGCATTACATACAAGCGTAGGCACAATATAATGCCAAAACACACTGGTGCCCTTTTGCCTACAGATTTGAACTCTAAGAAGTCGCTTTTGACCTCTTGTAAAATATTTGTTCGAAAAAATCAAACACCGCTTTATAGGTTTTTGCCCATCTCTTCCCGCAGTTCAATGACACCGTAGAACTTTATCATAACGAAGTAAACATAAGCTACAAATAACCTCACCTGCGAACATGCGGTCCCAACCAGCGAGGGCGTCAAGCCACCGTACAGTCTACCCCACCCTTCTTGTTGAATAACCTAAAATGATCAACATAATCGCTCCATTATAGTAACACACAATTACACAGTCGAATTCCTAAACAAAATTAAGCTGAAAACTAGAGCAGAGGTCACAGCGGATTACCTGATACATCTGTTCAACAGTCCCCGCCTTTTTCTTCTCTTTCTTGGGATCTCTATCGGTTTGTTGACGCGTGTTTACCTATGATTAGCTAATTATAAAATCTTGATCGACAAACAAATTAACTAAAAATCAAAACTACACGGAGATCACATACATAGACTATGAAATACTTACAGTTTGGAGAGGATAAGTGATAAGCTGAGCGATGATTCCACCACCGGCGCCGGCCAGTCCATTGATTAAGGCGTCAGACATATCTCTTCCCCTCTCTCTCTCTCTCTCTCTTCTCCTCGTTTGATAAAATAATTGGAGGATCTAGAGAGAGAAAGGGTGTGTGTTTTGGTGTTTGTGCGTGTTTTTAGAGAAAGAGAGAGAAGAGAACGAAGTTGTTAAGAAATGATGTCTGACTTTGCTGTGAAATTGGGGTTTTTCCTTTGGAAGACCATTTTGACCACTCCACTCTTGACTTAATTACATTTCAATCACAGAACTTTCAAAACTATGAATTTGGCCACTTAACTTTTTAGGTTCGTCTTTGGTTAATTGGTTTTTTAATCCAAGACATTTTTATAAAAGTAAAGTTGGGGACGTTCCAATCTTTTTGGAGGTCCTGCTATATCCAAAAATTTTGATTACATTGCATAAATGAGATAACAGATAATTTATGTTAAAAAAAATATGGGTTAAACCTAAAACGATTAACTATCTGAAACTAAATCTAAACCATTAATGATTTGAACTTAAAACCAAACAACTAACTATTTGAACCTAAATAACTTCGGCTATAGTTTTACACAGGTCGATAAAAGACTTTAAACACATGCAAAATTGGGCCCCATAATTTTCGGGGACCCTGTTCAAAATCTCACATTTAAGATCCTAAGGAACGACCCTGAGTAAAGTACTTGTAGTTTGCACAAAACTTCATCGATTGTCCTTATAATTTCAAAAATGCATATGTTATTGGTTCCAAGTCTTGTGAGAGGCATCTTAACTATTATGTAACATTTAGATATACAAGTATCTGAATTTTTTGTATAAAAAACAAAAGAAAACCTCCCCCCCCCCCCCCCCCCNTAGCCCATCCCTTTTCTACTTGCAACCTTGATCTCCGCCCCACTTACATCCTTAACTCGACATTCATCTTCCCGAGCCCCTCCTCTCCTAACCAGCACCCCAGTTGTAACCTTCCATCGCCAAAAAAAGGAATTCTACTCAACCTGTATATGCAACAACTCAAAATGGAGTTTTGTTATAGCAATAATCCTATAGCTGCAATTTTTATTGTACAAATATAAAACTCGTTTAAGAATCTGCTGTAGACTGTTGTACTGTTTGATAACAGAAAGTAACCAAATTGATGGCTATGTTATTTAATTATGAACCATTGCACATGGGATGAAATTTGGTTTGTATCGTGGTTAGGGAAAGCAAAAAGAAAGTGACACATTTAGTTTTGAAGATGAAATCAACTATATAAAAGCCATCAAAAATTAAAAAATGACGAATTATGTAAAATAGACATATTTTCTTTAAACTTGTATTTCTTAAAACGCACATAAAAAACATATTTAAAATTTCATATATATTAAAAATAGAGTTGAATTCCGGTGATGATGAAAATAATAGTGATGAAGTAAAAGAAATCTTAATCAACTTTAATGAGATATACCGAATCAATTATCGTATTAAATATAATTCATTAGATGAGATGAGATTAAGGTGTTGTTTGTTTTTACCAAAAAAGCTCTTAATACCCTCTGAAGTCTGAATCGGTCAGACCTTAGGGTATTAAGGGTGTTTTTTTTTTTTTTTCAATTCAGAGCTTAAAAACTCTGATTAGGTCTGAACTAATTAGAGTTTACCTTTTTACTGAAAACCTCTTATTTCATTCTCCTTGCATCGCCTACCCGATCTCTCTCAAGCTCTCCATCGCTGCACATCGCCTACCGTCGCCTACCTCTCGATCCTTGCGTCGCCTACCGTCTTCTACCTCTCGATCTCTCGGTTTAAGGTATCCATCTCAATCTCTCAAGCTCTCGATTTTGTTTATCCTTGCTTGGCTGATTTCTGTTTTTCCTGGTTCATCTATTGTGAAGGTAATCGCATCACCCACGGTTCAAATCCTATAAGGGGTTTTTGTATTATTTCTGTCTTGGTTAATTTCTCGAAACTTTAGTGAAAATCCAAGTTTGTAGTTCGAAACTATTGTCTTGGTTAACAGTAGAAAGAAGCCTTGCACTAATTTCTCGAAACTACTGTGAAATTCCATTTGGACTGCGTATTCACTTCTCCTCCTACACCTCTATCACTTGCATTAACCACCAAGGCATTGTTATTCCTCCGGGTTGGCCATTTGATTTGTACCTTGGGATTTAGGAATTCAAAATTGTGCGTAGAAGTGAGTTTTGGTGTGTGAATTGAAGAGTATGAGGCACATAGAAGTAGTTTTTCTATCAAAGAAACATCGATTAAAACCCTATCCTCATACTCTGCGTATTCAAAAGAAAACAGAAGTTTATAAACATAAAACAAAAGTTTTTCTATTTTTAGCATTTTGATCAATCTTTTCTTGAAAAGTTTGAAGATTACATATGTCGAATAAACTTGAGTAGTATCTCCTTTTCAAATTATGTTCATTTCATACCTTCTTTTGTGATATCAGTTGGCTTCTATCGTGTTTCATTTCCACTTCTGGTCTGCTTTGGCCTATGCTATACTACATTGATCAATGGTCTAGCAGACCTTGAAGTAGCATTGTGTTTGTGCACAACAATTAGGGCTAATGTGTTTGGTATGCTTTGGCCTATGCTGTACTACATTGATCAAGTCATGTTTCTGTATTTTTCTACCAAAGGAAGTAATTTTGCATTCACACACACACACACACACACACACACAAAAGGTGTGACTGGGTTCTACCGGATACCGCTGGACCATTGACCCTTACGGGTTTTTTTTTTCAATTTACTTTGCATTCAATGTAAGACATAATTTGACATGTGAAAACCTTTTAGATGTCGGAAAGTTGGAGTTACCCACCTCTAAACGACACCACAGAGGCTGCAAATCGTGTACATGAAGCACTTGCTGACCGAGGATGGAGATTGCGGCCATAGGGTTATAGATATAGTTTGGGTACAACTGCAAACACCTTTACTGTGAAAAGAAAAACCTTGAGAGGAGGGATATAGATTGATTTGTGTTCTTTTGACAGACATATTTGTGGAATTGAAGTTAATAAAACATGGTTGTATCATTCAAGCAGTTTTTTGAATGTGTTAAAAATAGATGATAGTTTACAGATGGTTTAAATGATTGGATTGAAATGAATTGATTCATATTTCATACGTTTGTCGGTTTACAAAAACAAGCAGTCTTATTGATCCAGATTTCAGACTTCAGACGTAAAAACAAACAGTCTGACTGATACAGATTTCAGACTTCAGATGTAAAAACAAACAGTCTAACTGATTCAGATTTCAGACTTCAGCACCACCTCTTAAAATTCAGAAGTGAATTCAGACTTCAGAACCTCTTAAAAAAACAAACGCCACCTAAAAGTCTCAAGGGTTCAGATTTATGTTTACACGTGACAATCACAAGTATTTTAAAAGTTATTTGTTTTAAAAACGTAAAATTTCATATCCGTACCGTGAATGTGACGTTGATCTTTTCTTAATGTAATTGTTCATATGTTTAAATATTAGGGTTGGGTTCACGTGAGAGCAAGAGTTTTTCGTGAGACACGTAAGACCAGTTTATGTTCATTGATCAACTTTATAAGCTAATGATCTAACGGTCTAAAATTGTACGGCGATGATTTTATGATTATTGAGAAGTGTCGTGACAATTTTATAATTATAAATATTCAAATTATAGATATAATTTAAAAGATTGAGAATTAATCTTACGAGTCTCACAAAAAAACCCTTGTTCTAGTATGATACTAAATTTTAAACGATTAATTTAAAGAGGCCCCAATTCTATATATCTAATTATTATTTCTGACCTGCCACCTTCAAACTTATCTATTTCATTATTCCCCCTCGAAGAACGCATAGACCAAACGCAAACGTCTTTTTCCATCTCTTCATTTTCGTTCCGACCACCGCCATGGCCACCGCCACATCTCACCGTCCACCTCCAAAACTACTCGATCTTGAGATCACAATCGTCTCCGCCAAACACCTCAAGAACGTCAACTGGAGAAACGGAGATCTAAGTCCTTACGCCATCTTCTGGCTCGATCCTGATCGCCGTCTTGCCACAAAATCCGATGACTCCAACTCCACCAAACCTGTATGGAACGAACGCTTTCTTATCCCTCTTCCCTCCGTTTCGGCTGCCGCTGTCTTAACTCTCGAGATCTTCCACTCAAAACCCTCCGACACCCCGAAACCATTGGTTGGAACCCTAAGGGTCCCAATCGACGACTTACCCAACCCGGAAGACTCGACCGTGATCAGAACTTTCGAGCTTCGCCGTCCCTCTGGTCGTCCCAGTGGTAAGATCCGTTTGAAACTTGCTCTACGTGAACGCCCTTTACCCGATTACCAAGTTACCCCTCAACCCGCGTATTATTACACCACTGCTCCTCCTCCCTCTTACGGTAGGTATCCACCATCCCAGCCTCCATACGGTACTTCCCTCCCACCACCGCCGGCAGTAGCTCCTCCGGCACCATCGCCACCGCCGCCGCACCCATACCACTACGGATCATATACGGATCCATATGCTGGTTATTACCAGGGAGGATACTACTCTCAGCCGCCGCCTCCACAGACTCCACGGCCATTTACTGATAGGCAGTCCAGTTACGGCGGTGGCGGTGGCGGTGGCAGCGGCAGCGTAAGCGGTGGGCCTAGCGCCCCCGTCGATTATGCTCAATACGAGCAGAAACAGAGACCAGGAAAGGTAGCATCTGGGCCAGGATTAGGGACAGGATTAGCTGTGGGAGCAGTGGCAGGGGGATTAGCAGGACTTGCACTTGACGAAGGATCGAGGTATGAAGAAGAAAAGATTGCAGATAGAGTTGAAAGTGATTTGAATGCAAGGGAACTTGATGATTACAGTGATTATCGTCGCGTGGGTTATTGATTTAGTACCCGGAGTTCTTTGGGTTTCCGGTACTATTGTCTAACCATTATTGAGGTAAATCTACAGCTATCATAATGGTTTTTATGTTCGTGTTATGTATATCATGTGTTGGCTATGATGTGAACTAATTGAAGTTATAAGAACGAAGAAGTTGTTGAAACATGAAAACGTCTTTGACATGATATGTGGTTCATAAATCCGCTTTGTTTTTACCTGAGTAAGTTGATTTATTAATATTTATTTGTGGGTTCTTTACGAGATCAGCTTTCATGGTGAATCATACTTCATGATTGAGCTTCTTGCCGTGTTTTGCTGGGATATGAATCAAAACAAACGTAAATGAGAAGATGAAATTGGCTAGGAATGGCCATCGGTAGATGTTGTCAACTTGTTATGAATTAGATGCCTTGCCTAGGCGTGATTTGTTTGCAAAGAAAGTTATGTGTACATCCTTTAGGATCCTCATAGCATATTGTAATAGAGATTGCAGATGTTTTGACTTGGCCTTGGTGCACCAAGGCCGTTTCTTAAATGTACAAGAGCTGTCATGCTTATGTTCTGGTGATGACAAGATGTGTTCATGGATTTTAGTCTTTTAGATAAGGATGAAGATGGATTTTAGTCTTTTAGATAAGGATGAAGATGGAAGAAAACAAACTTTTAATGGTGCTGTTTAGGAAGTTACTGATGTGGCATTCAATATGACGAGAAATGCAGGGGATGTTAGGCGTACATAAATTGAGTCGCAGGATTAGATGATGGTGAAGTGGTCGGTGCAGTGGTTTCCTGGCAAATGCTTTCCGACAAATGGGTAACAATTAAGGATGGAAACAGGTGAGGGAATAGGTGTGAACAAACTGATAGGATCCCCCTTTTTACATCCCATGCCCTCTGTGTGGCGACATGGGGGCGAAAAAAGGAAAGAGAGGGATGGGGGTGTAACGATCTGGGCACTGTCTCTGTGTGACTGACTGTTTTGTGTGTCGAAAGAAGGTCTTTCACATATGAAACAAAACTGTATATGCATTGCATTTTTACATGTGTTGAAACAACACATAAGAACTTGTTTGCAAGTTTGGACGAATTATTGGGTTTGTAAAAGAAGGGGACTATATATATATATATAAACTTAGATTTCAGGGACAATTTTGGATTACGGTGGGTAGTATCATCCCCAACCACTCCGAACCTGCTTTGGGTATTAAAATCAACCACTATTACCCTCCAAAGCGAGGAATCCCTCCCCATTACGGGATGGTCCCCACGAGTAAAATTTCCATCTCTGGTAAGAAAGTAATTGCCACCAAGAGATGGCTTGCACAATGGATGGCAATATTTTTAAGGGACCAGGGGCTTGCTGTCATGATCGTTGATAGTTTTTTTGGGGGTGCCAGGATCTTCCTTTTTCTTTTCCAGCATATGGAAGGGTTTCCAGGTTATTCCTTTTCCAGCATATGGGAACTGCTGATAGTGGTGAATTATTAAATAGTTGCTTCTCATGCCCGCTTTATTTCGCTCTTCTCTTAGTGCACCGCATGTTGGAACGCATGCTGTCTAGTCATGAACTTTTAGAAGTCTGGGTTTTAGGAGTGGCTATTCAATTAAACCATTGTATACAGTCTTGTTATGCTTCAACTATCAATCAGTTTGTTGCAAACAGCGTATTGCTCTTGATCTTGCCTTCACCTATGAATGTGCATGAGTGAACGAAAATACCATTTCTAACAGATTTTATTCGTTTGCTCTACATGGATACGATTTTCCTCTGTTTGGGAGGATGTGTTTGGAACCTTTGAATTTAGTGTCTTGTAGTTTTTGCCATGTTGGACCAAAGTACAAATTTTTGCTTTCAATGTGTGTAGTTATTTAGACCCTTGGTTTTTTAGCAATGTGTGAAGTTATTTAGACCCTTGGTTTTAAAAAGCGCGATGCGATCCGAGGCGGTAAGGGTCCTAGAAGCCGATGCGTGATGCAGATGCTCTCGCATCATGCACATGCGCCCGTTATTCAAAAAATACTTGTAAATTAATTCTACATATCAATTTCTACCGTAAAAATACTTACCTATCAAAATACTTCATTTATAACATAAAGTAGTTCAAAAAGTGGCATTAGAATCTTAAAAAGTTCGTGAATCGGAATAACAAAACATACAAACTACTACCATGAAGAACACAAGTAAATGTCTAATAGTCCCCGATCCCTAAACTAAATGACCAAGTGACCAACTAATACTCCCCAAGATTTGCATCATCAAACCCCAACACGGGTTCATCTCCCTCATCATCATCAAACCCTCCAATATCTGCTTCCACCTTAAACTTCATCATCTTCGCGACTCACGTATATGTTCTTAATCTGATATGCGACTTGAGACTTGAGAGGGGCTTCTATTTTGATCTACAAAAAGCCCAACTAAAAAGCCTAACTAAAAACTTCTAAAGAATGAAAGAGGAGCCCAAACATGAAACATACAAGATGCGCTGATGCATGCATCGTGTGATGCATAGGTGATGCAACCGCATCAGAGAGCATAATGGAATCGCTTCGCATCAGCCCCTCTGATGCCTGATGCGTTACCTCCAGCGCATCGGAGCGCATTATGCGCGCATTTTTAAACCAAGTTTAGACCCCAAGTCAAATTAGGATATTGAATGATTAAAAATGTTGGTTGTCAGCTTGTCAGATAACATTGTGAGGTTTATGGAATTTGTTTATTTTTCCATTTTTGCTTTGCTTTAAATTTACTTGGACTTATATGTTCTTTTAGTTTTTTTCCTTTGCTGGTGATTTGATTTTGAAATGAATTTGTTTAAAGAACATGGTTGGAATGAGTTTTACATGTTGGATGGTGCTCCAAATGTCTGTTAGAGCTTCTATGTTTTTCTTTGGTCCCTCTTGTGTTTCTACTTAAGTTTACTTGTTTTGTGAAGCATATGTAGACATCTCTATGGAAACTCTCCACAATTTCTCTTTTGATTTGTGATCATCCTTTATTCTTTTCTAGCCAACAACATAATCAAGAACACTTGTTGCTGGCCCATTTAAGCTACTTATTGAACGTACACCTGGACTGTTAAAATCATCAAGATTAGATTTTGATTTTTCAATTAGGTCTACTCATTCTGAAGTTAGTGATTATGGCAAGAACTTTTGGCTGGAAATCTTCTTCTTGCGTCATGATGGTTGACCTATCCAGCACCACATCTTTTCTTTAGTCGATTCTTGGAACAAGTGTGTAAAGTTGGTAGATGACTCATAGGAGGATGGGTGATTGGACATAAAAAAGAAGCTCAAAAAAGAGAGGTTGAGGGTAATGTTGGATTTATTTTGAAGTGGCATCGGCAACCTGAAGACCACATAGTTCTAGATATGGATGCCTCTTAAAATGATCGAAATTTAACTCCAGGGGTTACTAGTTGTGTCGATTATTGTGGCATCCACAACTGAAAAGCTTTTGTGCCACCCCACAATTGTAATAAATCCCCGTCGAGAAAAATATTATTTTCCGTAACTGCACAAGTTTTGAATAAACGCATTTTTCTTGACTGATTACAAAAACCTCGTTGAAAAAGCTCTTCTTCCTATGCTCTTATGTTAGCCCTGCTTCCTTAATATTGTGTTGCCACATGTGCACGGTTTTGTTTCGTCAGTTTTGACCAGAAAATGTCGGTCAAATCAGTAAGCTCTGTTTGACAATTTTACAATGCAAAGCAAGGGGTCGTCTATCAAATGTTAACCTTACAAATGCTTGTCAGGTTACTTACTGGGGAAAGGTTTGGGGAAACAACCCAATAGTTTGGACAGACGTTTAGGTAAATGGCCCGTAAATTATTGGGTTTTGTTAGATCAACCAAACTAACCGAATACATTTGGGTTGAGCAGGTTTTTGATGCTTTGGATCCAAAAGTAAGATATGAGAAAAAAGTGGAAGCTAAAGGAATTCGAACCCTTTAAAAACTGTTGGTCTGTTTCTTCATTGCTTTTGTTTCTTTCTTTCCAAATTCTATTTGCAATGAATAATTATGGGTTTGATCAGATTTCAACTTTTTTTCTTTTTCAATCAAATTGAAATCTAAAATTATAGTCTAAATCATTCTTTGATCTTGGTGAGTTCATGGGAACATGACTTCTAGATACCAACTTAAGACATACACTATGTCATATTTGTATACATGCAAAAGCACAACTTTTCATGAGATCTAGTATTTCATATCTCAATATATATATATATATATATATATATATATATATATCTCGTTGTTTGCACCATCACTACATCTCTCCTCGACACGTCCTACGCGTGTATGCATTAAAATCATTTCGTACCGTATATTAAAAAATAAAGTGGACATGTTGTATACATATACCATGAAGGCATGCATAGATGTGTATTTACTTTCTTTTAACTGTCATGTTTAGGACTTGTATCTTGACTTTGTACTTTCAGGTGGTATCATTTACTGCTATATTCTATGTTTACATAGCATTTTTCACTTTAGGTTTAAATAATAAATAAACACCTTGGTGTTGTTTGGTTTGTGGAATTCAAAGGAGTATCGGATTTGAATGATAAATTTCTTTTGACCAAATTTCAATTCACTTCTTTAAATGGATGAATCCTTTAAATTCATTTGAATTTCACATATTACTTATTTCATCATTCCTGGACAAAAATGAATGAATTGAATTCCAGTGCCTCGTGAATATCACTGTTTTTATAATTTATTTTTCAAAAGAAAAAATAATATTTGCATTCAATTTAACTAACATCACTTATACCTGGCCCACCCCACCCCAACCTTACCTGTCCTCACGATACCACTATTGCTCGTTTTCACAACCGTCACATGCCTGTCCATCCTATCAGGATCACACCATTACTATCATTGTCTCAACCCTTACCCCCGAACCACTTACCCCATTCGTCTACCACCACTTGTTTTTTTAAGTATAATATTTATATACGGCAAATAGAACAAATAAACTCACACTCTTCTCATCTTTGGTGAGGTTTGAATCATTGACCTCCTGGGAAATCAAAAGCTCACATATCGCTAGACATCTGGCCCTTTGGTTCCACCACCATGTGTTATTGTGATTTAATTTCAATTCTCAAGTTATATTATGCCAAACAAACATGAAAATTCCAACAACAAAAAAAAAAAAAAAACTGAGATTTTATTCTAATTAATACCAACCAAATATATAGTCA